GATGATATAATATTTCACCTTTTGTGATGGACTTATTTCACTTAGTATACTGTGTTCCGGGGCTCATCTGTGTCGTTGTTGTTGTTAAGTTCTGTCAAGTCGGTTCCAACCCATAGCGACCCTGTATAGAGCAGCTGGTGAGCCTGAACCGTCGACCTTGCAGTTCAAATGGCTTTGCAGTCTGATGCATTAGCTCACAGCACCACACCAAGACTTCTGTGTCGTAGCATGTACTGTAATGTCACTGCTTTATATAACGTCCTATTCCATTGTGTGGATGGACCATATTTTGGTTATTCATTACACTGTTGATGGACACTTGGGTTGTTACCATTTAGGGTGAATAGTGCAGCAGTAAACATTGGTATACAAGGAGCTGTTTGGTCCCTGCTCTCAAGTCTTCCTCAAGCCTTGAGTATGTACTTACAGAGTTCTGGTGTGGCGCTATTGGATAAGCACTGGGTTGCTAACCACTAGGTTGGTGGTTCAAACCCACCAGCTGCATCTAGGAAGCGCTATACAGGATTGCTCTGAATTGGAACCCACTCGATGCCACTAACAACCACAGGTTAGTGTTGCCCTGGTGTGGCACTGTTGAATAAGCACTGGATTGCTAACCTCAAACCTACCAGTTGCTCCTCAGAAACCCTATACAGGGTCACTATGAGTTGGAGCTGACTCGATGGCACTTAACAACAACAACAAGTATAAACCTACAAATAGAACTGCAGAGTCAGAGAGCAGTTCTGTGGCGCTGTAGGGTCATCACTGGACTGCGAACCACAGGGTCAGCAGTTCAAACCCACCAGCAGCTCCTCGGAAACCCTATACAGGGTTGCTATGAGTCGGAACCAACTCAGTGGCACCTAACAGCAATACCAATAGTAGTTCTGTGTTTAACTTTTTGATGAATCACCAAACTCTTTTTCACAGAAACTGCACCATTTTCCATCCCCACCAGTGAATAAGGGTTCCACTGTCTCCATAGCCTCACCAACACATGTGCTCCACTTTCCTGATGATAGCCATCCTAGTTGGAAAGAAGTAGAATCTCCATTTGGTTTTTTTTTTTTGGTTTTTTTTTGTTTTTTTTTTTATAATTAAATGTTTTTATTTTGCATTGAGTGAAAGTTTACAGGGCACATCATCAGCTTCACATTCAACCATTCATATAGCTTGTTTCATTACATTGATTATTATCCCCACTATATATCATCAGTTTACAGTGTTTCTCTCTATCCTCTTTAGCTTTTTTTTTGGATGGGGGGGGACTTGGCTTATTGGAATTTACAGTCTCGGCTTTTAGGGGAGGTTTTTACATTTGTCTGTGGATATCCAGGGCTCACGTATGAGATTACTAACAAGCATTACTGAATAATCAGATGAGGGACAGTTTGCTATGTCTACTAGGTGGCTAGAGTCTGATCCTCAGAGCCTATGGTTTGGACGGTCAACAACGCTTGGGCCCACAGGGGCTTGGCCTCCTGACCGGGTCTGTGCTGTCTGCATCTGAGTCCTCCTTTTTTATTGATTGTTTAAGGGACGCTGCCTGTCTTAGGTGGTCAGTACGAATTCCTCAGTCTTACCAGTCATTGAGACTCATTGCAGCATGGCAATGTCTCTGTCCCAAGTAGCCGAGGTTCCACTTGATCCTTACCCGTCTCTGGCCACACGTCCAGCATAAACAGCCGCCATCCGAGGAAGGCAGGGAGGGAGGAGATCAGCTGGGGACCCCATGCGCCCGACGTTGCCGGCCCCCACCTTGCTTGAGGTGACCAAGCAGGATCACTATGTTGAGGTTCAATCCGGTTCCTAGGGGATCTTATTCTCTAGCATGGGTAGCAAATGGGTAGCCACGCAGTGTTCACTTTGAGAATTACTTATATCATAAAATTGAGCGTGTAGCTGATGAATATCCCCAGACAAGTGTATATTGTTCCACAACCTCCTAAAATGCTGTTGGATTAAGTTCCAATTAATTTCTGGGTTACTGAAAGATAACGCAAATCTACTTATACCTTGAGTAACCTTAGCTGGGAGTGTAGTCTGGATTTATTGGGTCTTATTTCCCTTAAGCGGTCTTCCTTTCTCTAAAGCATTTAGCCTGTTTTGTGAGCCTTTGTCTATTTACTCTCAGATCATATGAGCGAGACTAATGTCCCTAGACATTTGAATTACACGATGGGCAGGGCAAAAAAAAGGTAACAATTTCTGTTTGCGCAGTGATTCTTGACCTGAGAGCAAAGGCACATGGCACGTTTGAGGGCTAGGCACTGCATTGCTTTGCCTAGCTTCTGAAAACTTTAACAGGGGATAAAGCCTATGATGGTTGATGGTCCATTTGGTTTTGATTTGCATTTTCCTAATGACGGATGGAGAGTCCTACTGTGGTGTTATAGGATAAGCACAGTTGGTGGTTCCAACCCACCAGCAGTTCCTAGGAAACTCTATACGGGGTCACCCTTGAGTCGGAGCTGACTCGACGGCACTTAGCAACAGCAACAATGACTAATGGGGACCAGGGAGTCCTAGTATGACACTGTAGGATAAGCAATGGACTTCTGACTTCAAGGTTGGCAGTTCAAACCCACCATCTTGTACTCAGAAACCTTACCCAGGGTTCTACTATGAGTCACAGCTAACTCAACAGCACTTAACAACAATAAGTAATGCCCCGGAAGAAGTACAGCCATAATGTTCCTTAGAAGCCAAGATGACAAGACTTCGTCTCTCATACTTCAGCTGTGTCGTCCTGGAGAAGGACATCATGGTTGGTAAAGTGGAGGGTCAGAGAAACGAGGAAGACCCCCTACGAGATGGCCTGACACAGTGGCAGCAGCAGTGGGCTCAAACGTGCTGTGGATGTCTCGTCTAAGAATCTATTGTCAAAAGCTAGGCCCCAAAGCCTTGCCCGGTAGCTGTCTTTCTGAGAGTTGATGGTTTTTGTTCTTACATTTAGCGCGTTTGCCCATTTTGAGTTACTTTCTGTGTATGGTGTGAGGTTTAGGTTCCATTTCGTTCTGGGAAAATAGATCTAGCTAGTCTGGCCCCGTTTCTTGGCAGACTAGTCTTTCCCATTGAATGGACTTTGGGGAGGGGGGGATGCATTAATTGCAGACGCAGAGATTTAGTTCTGGACTCTCAATTCTGTTCCATTGGTCTTTCTATTTTTACTAGCAGTAGAAGACAGTTTGGACTACTGCGGCTGTATAGAGCATCTTGGAATTGGGACATGCAAGTCCTCCTACTTGGTTCTTTTTCAAGATTGCTTTGTCTATTTGGATCCCTTGTAATTCCATATGAATTTAAAAAGGTAGAAAAACTGTTGATTACCATGAGGATGACATTTAGTATGACATTTAAGTCTTATATTTACAACAGTCTAGTTTAAATTCAGAAGTCCTGGTGTGGCACCATAGGATAAGCACTGGACTGCTAACCACAAGGTCAGAGGTTCAAACCTAGCAGCCACTTCTCAGAAATCCTACACAGGTCACACTGAGTTAGAACGACATGATGGCACCTAACAACAACAATTTACGTTCAAGTCGTTAACTTCAGTCATGGGCACCAACTATCCCTGTGATGATCTTCCCCTTAGATGTTGCTGTTAACGTGTGTTAGGTCTTTATACATGATGTGCCCAATAAACATAAAGGAAGCATTTTAGGTGACTCCTTTTTCTTTCCCAATCCTGTAGTACATAATTCTTTCTGCTCCCGTAAAGATTTACAGCCTCAGAACCCTGTACCGGGTCGCTATGAGTCAGAACCGACTACATGCACACCACCACCAGTACTTAATTACAGACTTACAAGCCAAACACTCCATAAACACGGCCCTTCCGTTTGCCCGGGAGACCACCTTTGTCAGAGAGCGTTCTTTTCTGTTTCCTCCCCCGTGTACGTCTGCGTCTGTCTCGCTGTCTCTTCTCTCGTATTGTAAGGGAACAGCTAATACCGGACCTCATCCTACATGAACAGATTACATCTGCTGTGACCCAATCTCCAAACACGCATTCCGAGATTCCAGAAAGAAGATGGATTTTGGAGGGGACCCGACCCACCCCAGTGCATACTCTTCAGGTCTCCCTCTAGGAGGACTCCTTGAGCAATTTGGAAACAGTTTAAGGCAGTCCTGAGCACCATGTGTAGTAGCAGTTATAGATCGAGTCTTTGGGCCTCCTCAATGCCTGATAACTCCCTAGATACCCTTAGCATCCCTTGGGGGACATTAAAAGGCCACCATATCAACTGGTCCTAGTGGCTGGACCATAAATTCCCTCAGTTCCCACATGACAAACACATAGTGAGCACCTTGGACTGCAATCTCATTTCCAGTGAATTTGGTTGACCCTTGTTTCAAATTGGGTTTAAATTCATGATTTGGGTCTGGAGAAGACTCCCGGGCCCACACCTGAGTCCACGGGTAACCAGCGATGACCCTTCCAAAGCAGGATACTTGTTTGTGTTTTCTTCTGTCACCTTCTCTACAGGAAGGGCGAAGATGTCTGGAGCTTAGATGTTGTTATGTGCTGTCGAGTCATTTCTGACTTATAGCAACCTTGTCTAGTGTATAGGGTTTCTGAGGAGCTGCTGGTGAGCTTGAACCGCCAACCTTGTGGTTCAAACAGACCTTGCAGTGCTGTGCACTAACCCGCAGCGCCACACCAGGACTCCAATTACTCTCTTAATTACTTCCTTATCTAAGCTCCTGGAGTGCTGCTGTGACTGCAAGATAATGCACTACGCTGAAAGGTCTATTTGAACCACAAGGTCGGCGGATCAAGCTTACCAGCCGCTCCTTGGAAACCCTATACAGGGTTGCCATGAGTCAGAACTGACTCGATGACATTTAACAACAAGAAGAAGAAAGTAAATAAGAGGATGGATGGAGAGAAAAAAGCCTTAAGTGGCTCTGCATACTGATCATTGGAAATCCTGTCATCCTTTTACCGAGCCATTGTATATGTTACTAACTAGCACCTTCTCATTTTGTAGAATTTTATAGAAACAGATAATGAGAACAATGGCATTCTTAGACGACGGGACATCAAGAACGCTCTGTATGGTTTTGATATTCCCCTCACACCCAGAGAATTTGAAAAGCTCTGGACAAGGTAAGTGATCAGCTGAAGATGGGCTCACTGCAGCAAATCCAGTGCACCTCTCTCGTCACTCCTTGGCGGCAAGGTGGGAGGCCGGAAGTGGTTTTCGTTCGTGTCTTGTCTGTCCTGCTTCTTTGCTTCTCAAGGACAGCAGCCTGGTCTTCAGGAACTGGCAGGGCCAGGCTAAACACCCATCACCAGTCCTCCGCTTGCGAGGTTTGCGTTTCCCAGAAACCTTTAGTGGGAGCCAGCACGTCCGCTTTTTGAGAGTACCAAGTCCCTCTTGGAAGACCTCATTCTAATACAGCGGGCTTGGCAGACAGAGCTGCAGTCGCTAGAAGGAAAGCCATTTTCTCCCTGTTGCCCAGAAATGAATATGAGGGTTGCACCCTGCTTTGTAGATAAGTAATTTGCTGGAAGGAAATGACCAAATGACTTTGGGCAACTTGGCATTATTTCCCGAGAGTCTTTTCAATGGAAAATAGCATTGAATGTTGGTTCCATTTTTCAAAATGTATTTTAAGTTAAGCCGTATTTTGAATTAGGCCTCCAGTTAGAATATACCCCTCTCCCAGCAGGGAGATGTCTAAGTTTCCAGTGGCATTTATAGCGTGAGGTATTTGTAAGCTTTAACTCCCTCTTGGAAGCACATCCTTCTTCATTCTGTGTGAGCGACCACTGCAGTCCCCCAAGCTAGCACCGTGGCTGCGCGTCCACTCAGGAGACACGCCTCGGAGACAGGCTCTGCCAGATTTTTAGCTTTTCATCTGTTCAAAGCGGAAGGCTGAAATGTTGGCCGAGTTTAGAATTAAGTGGGCTGTTTGGTGTCTAAATTAGAAAAGCAACTTGAAGTTCTCACTGAAATCTTTATTATTATTATTATTATTAGATCAATTCCATTTTCTCTCCAGTGGGCTAGTGGCTCTGAGTCATCAAAAGTCAGGTGGATATGCCCATCCCTCACCACATAGGCCTTTTGGATGGTTCAGAGATGATTCCAAAGCCCCGTCTTCAGTCTGTCAGGGGACAGAAAGCATTCACACCAAGAGCTAGAGTCGAGTGTTGACCATGTGAAGTGCCAAGTGACGTGATCATTATACGCAGGACTGGGGCCTGGGTCATTGGGGGGGTCAGTATGGTAGAAGTGACGTGGAAGAAAGTGAGTAGAAGAGACTGCCTGAACCCCAGGACAGCCAGTGGGCCATCTATCAGCGCTAGCCTGCGGCTCCCAGGGCCAGAAGGGAGGCGTCAGGTTAGGCCACTTCGCCAGGCCTTGTTTGAGGCCAGTGTGGATCCAGCATTGAACGGTGTAAGCCAAACAAGGCTTGAGGAAGGTGTGTCAGGGATAGTTCAGAGAAGACATTGGATGGGGTGGGGGCCTAGTGGGCAGGACGGGCCTCTGAGCTGAACCCTGGCCTTAGAATGGAGGTGGGAAGTCAGGAGCCCCCAGGTTCCCGGGCCCTCTTCCTGGAGGTGGAAGAGCGCCTGCTTCCGTTCTCCTTGGAGAGAAGCGTGCATGTCACTTAGGCACACTAGAGTAGTTCTCAAAGTATTTTTAAAGAGGAAAGTTGTCAGAAGTCCAAGTTTTGCCTCCTGGTGTACGGCTGGCCTTCATCACAGACAGTGCACTGCAGATGGAGAGAGGCTGAGGTGTGAGCTCAGCAGGCAGACTCAGGCCCTGACTCCTCCTCCCCGCCCACAGCCTCATTCTGCCTCTGTCTGCCTCATTCTCCTGCAAAGCAGGACTCATCACACCTGTTGCCTAGGGTTGCCACGAGGCCTCAACCTCAGACCCAAACCCTGCCATCGGCTCAGTCTGACTCATAGTGACCCTTATGGGAGTAGGAAGCCTCATCTTTCTGGTTTTGAATTGTGACCTTGTGGTTGGCAGTCCAGTGCTTATCCTACAGCGCCACAGAGCCCCTTGTTGTGATGCTTAGGGTTAATGAATATGTTGTCAAGTGCCGTGGAGTAAGTTCCAACCCATACCATCCCTGTATAAGGGTTTTCACCGACCTTGTGGTTCAAACGAACTTGCGGTCCAGTACTTATCCCACAGTACCACACCTGGACTCCTTAATTAATATTGTTGTTAAGTGCCATCGAGTCGACTCCGACCCATAGTGACCCTGTATAGGATTTTGAAGGAGCAGCTGCTGAGCTTGAACTGCCAACCTTGCAGTTCATATGACTTTGAAGTCTGATGCATTAGCTCACAGCACCACACCAGGACTCCTTAGTTAATATAGCTAAGTAATACTGGGATAAGCATTGGTCTGCTAACTAGAAGGTTGACGGTTCCAACCTACCAGCCAATCCTTGGAAACCCTACACAGGGTCGTTGTGAGTCAGAACCGACTTGATGGCACTTCACTAAAAAGTTGATAAGAATATAGGTTGACACGTATGTCACCACTCAGTAAGCATAGCAAGTCCTCTCCTCATCTGTTCATTCGGCACACGTTGCTTGAACACCTGCTTATGCGCATCTTTGCTGGGCTGGGGAGAACACGACGAACAGACAATAATGAGCTTGTCCTCTTAAGATGCTCACGTGGTCTTAGGACGAGGAAACACTTGTTTGTTAATCATTGTAGCGCAGGGGTCCTGGAGGGGGGATGCGTGGCTTGTAAGCTGGGCCCTGGTGTCTGTCTGTCCAAGTGGTAGTATTTGCGCAGGCTCGCTGCCCTGACAAACAGTACCGGCATCTCGGCTGCTCTCCTGTGTCTGTCCTGCGGGGTGGCGGGGTCATGTCTGCTTTTGTGGGGCTGGGCTGGGGACTGTGAGCCATCATCCTTGCAGGAGGATGCACTGGGTCCACTACAGGGGAGTCTGGGAGAGGACATGTGGACGTGTGTGCAGAGAGAGAAAGGAAAGGAAGATGGGGAGTTGGAGGAGTCACATGGCTATCACATGGTGCAGTCAAGACCCAGGAGACTCGGGGCACTGGTCAGTGTTCAGATTTCAAAAGGCCTGTGGTGTCCCTCACAGATCTGGAGGCTGCTGTCCCCTACCCCACCCCCCTTCTAGAGGAGCAGAAGGGGAGGGGGCTTCACAGAGACCTCCTTCCTCCTCCATCAGCTGGACTCTGTCCTCTGTCCACTCCACCAGAAGCAGCCTTTTTGTGGGCAGTGCAGAGGGAGATGTGTGAGGAGGAGCATGGGATTGAGTGAGGACGGCCTCTCAGATAATGCCCCTCCTCAAAAACCTGGCCGATGATGCTCTCGGGCCTGCAGAGTGACCTGTGTGACCCTGTGGGGAGCTGAGTCACCGAGGAGCCATGGCAGCCTGCACTGGAGAAAGATGCCTCTGGCCACAACAGGGGTAGGAACTTTTAAGGGTTGAGCCAGGGTGGAAGGAGGGAGGGACTCAGCCATCCCAGCAGACCTAGCAGGAGGAGGAGCTGTGTCATCTCGGAGAGGGAGGCCGGGATAAGAGAGATGACCGTCTGAAGAACAAACCAATCTGTGTTGGAAGAAGTGCAGCCAGAATGTTCCGTAGAAACCAAGATGGCCAGACTTGGGTCTCTTGTACTGTGGACATGTTGCCAGGAGGGACCAGTCCCTGGAGAGGGGCATCATGCTGGGTAAAGTGGAGCAGTGAAGACTCTCAGCGAGACTGGACCCTCCTGACCACATGTCCACAGTTCATAAGACAACGAACGTCTTGCCAGCCTCACTTCTAAGGAGTCCTTTAGCTGGACTTCTTCCAAGACAGACAGGTTTGCTCTTTCACTCTTCTTCACCAACACCATAACTGAGATACATCGGTTCTTCCTACTGTCTCCTGTAGTCACTATCCAGCTTTCACATGCGGATGAGGTGATTGAAAAGACCCATGGCTTGGGTTAGGTGTACCTTGGCCTTCAAAGTGACATCTTTGCGTGTTAACACTTTTAAGAGTTCTTTTGCAGCAGATTCTCCCGATGCGGAACATCATTTGACTTCTTGCCTACTGTTTCCATGGGTGTTGATCCGGAAAAGCATAAAGTTAAAGAAATGATGGTAACAGTAAAGCAGCCAGAACCCACACGGCAAGGGGACAGACAGTGGTGACCTGTGGGTGTCATTCATCCTGATCTCAGTTTCATGGTATCATTTGGACCGTCCTCACTGCATGCACCCTCCTGGGCTTGATCTTAATCCTGGTGATTGCTCAGCACCCGTTGAAACTCCATGGTCCATTGAAATGGGTGGGTAAGAGAGAGCTGGTGGCTACTGACGGGTTGTCATGGTGCCGAGAAGCCTTCTCCAGTTGCCCTAACAATGAGAAACGTGGTCTAGGACAGGTGGCAGAGGTGCACCCAATGTGCAGGCCACGGGGAGCCAGGAGACAGACAGGACCCGAGTGACTCACCACATCTGCTCAGGATGCTCCTGACATGTCATTGGTTGTGCCGTCAGGAAAGACCACCTAACGTGAATACGCAGAGCAAGTAGGAAAACAGCAGTCTGCTTTTTTGGGAAGAAAAAAACAACAACATAAATTTAGAAAATATGACACAATACAGATGAGAAAAAGATTGCCAACATTATTAAGCACCTACGAAGCACCCTATTTTAGGGTTGTGTATTAGTCAAGACTTGTGGATCTTGACAAACTGTGGTTAGCATTTCAAAGAATGGGTGTCCAGAACACTTAACTGTGCTCATGAGGAACCGGTGCATAGACAGGTAGTTGTGTGAACAGAACAAGGGAACAATGAATGATTTAAAATCAGGAAAGGTATGTGACTGGGTTGTATTCCTCCACCATACTTATTCAACCTGTGTGCTGAGCACATAATTTGAGAAGTTGGATTATATGAAGAAGGACGAGGCATTAGGATTGAAGGAAGACTCATTAACAACCTGTGATATGCAGGTGATAAGACCTTATTTGCTGAAAGTGAAGAGGACTTAAAATGCTGATGAAGATCAAAGACCACAGCCTTCAGTAGGAGTTGTACCTCAATGTAAAGAAAACAAAAGTCCTCACCCACCACTCACTGGACCAATAAACAACATCCATATCAATGGAAAAAGATTGACGTTGTCAGAGACTTCAGTTTGCTCAGATCAGCTATCAGTACTCACGGAAGCAGCAGTCAGGAGATGTTGCAAGGTGGAAGGAGAGGGCTCATGGAAGCTTTGAGATTGGGATCTTTCAGCAGAACTTCTTGGGAGCACGTGCTGACTGGCCTTGGAGAGATAGCGAAGGATAAGGAAGAGGCAGCTGTGTACACGTTCATTCTTTCACTCGCCGGTCATTAGGCAGTGGTGGACCGGAAAGGTCCACTGTACCAGACCCAGTGCTAGATCCCAGCTTCCAGAAGATGCAAGTCCAGTCCTGCCCTCTGTCTCCAGCATGGTTTCCCCCAAGGCCATGTCACCCCGGCTAGACTGCCCCAAGACTAGAACATACCTTCTCTGGTTTCACCCCAGGCTGGGCCTCCCCTTACTGGAACCATTGAGGAAGGTCCCGAATCTGCGTGGGGACTTGGAACACGTGGTGATTGCCGTGATTCCATCTCCCGTGGTCTGAAGAGATGGCACCGAGATGATCCTGTATGTCCAGGAACAGTGTCCACCCTTGCTGCACATCCAGGACCATCTGGGGCCTTCCCCAACCGCTGACTGTGCCCTTAACTCTGGGGATCAGTGGCTTTAGAAGACAGTTGTGATATTTATGTAAGAATCAAGTGTCTACATGGAGCGTAAGAGGCAGCCAGAAGCAAGCATTTGATGTGAGCGTATCCAGACCTTGTGTGCAGTTGAGTTTGGTGTGTCCACTAAGTAGGCAGATGTCACCTGATGATCTCAGATTGGTGTCCGGTGCCATGTGTAAGTGCTAGCTTTATGGGCCCACTGTTTATGTGCACATCTGTTGCAGAACCATTTTAAAATTCAACCTTTATCGGCACGTTGGTTTTATTTTTAATGTCACACAAAGGATTATGTAATGAAGGATGAGGTTGTGTAAGCTGAATTAACTCTCTTATTATTCACGTTCACAACAATATTTGCATTGCAATTGTGCAATCTGGTCTTGGGCTCCTTTGAGATGAGACAAGAATGTGTATGATCTTTATTAATGAAGTAATTAAGAAGTGTGTTTTCATTCAGTTCAAGTGTCGTGTTTAGAGTTTGTGCTTGGTAGTCACTTGGCTGGTAGTTCTTCCTCAGGCAGACTTGCCCCACCCCCGTCTTTGTTGACAAAGATGAAACAGGCTCAAATGCTTCCTTTCTTGGCAACTACGTAAAAGGTTGCAGGTTCAAGTTCACCCACAGTTACCTCATAAGGAAGGCCGGGCAGTCTACTTCCCAAAACATCAGCCGCCGCACACCTATGGAGCGCACACCCAGAGGGGAGTGTGTGGGGGTGCCATGAGTCACCTCAGGGGCACCTGGTGGGGATTTGGGTTGATTTTTTTGTGATTGTTTTTGTTTGTCTCCTTGAGCTTCCCTCGAGTCAGGAAGGTCACACAAGAACTAGAGACGAGCCCGAGTAGAAGGCCGGATGGGTGGAGCTTACCCACAACCCACTCATCCCAGACCCTGTTCTAAGTCCCAGCCCTCACGGGTGCTCCCCCCTGTCAACACGAGGAGTTCACAGGAGGGGAGAAAGGGTTCCCAGAGAGGTTGTCTCCTCCCAGGGCTTGTCGGTCAGTGTGAGATCACTCTTCAGAACCCTGCTCTGAGGAGGGACACTGAGTCGGGAGCTTGCTGCGCAGGGTGTCGTGACTACCCTCCCATGCTACTGCAAGGTCCTGGGGCCGCTGGAGGAGGTCAGGGAATGGAGCCTTTCCCTCTCTGACACAGAGTGGACTACAAGGAGACCCTCCCCCTCAGAAGCCTTCCTGTTGCGTCACCAGCAGTTAGGAGAATCAGCAGCCTGGCCCTTCCTGCTACCGGAAGCCTTCCAGTGGGGACAGCAGCCACACGCCTCCTGTTGCTTGGTGTGCTGATCTGTGTTGGCGTTTCCAAAGCAGAGTGCACTGCATGAAGGCAGGGCGTGGTTACAGGGATGGTTGGAGGTTATGCCAATAACAGACACCTAGAAAGGCCTTCAGGGGTTTCCATCAGTAATAGTAGCAACAACACAGTGTGAGCCATCCATGGATGTTCTTGATCCTCACGTGGTATAAAGAGATAAGGAAGCTGGGCCCTCCGGTGATCCATCACTCAGCTCTCAGCGCTGAGGGCTGATGTTTCTCAGTAAGGGGGATGATACTCCGAGAAGACCAGCCTTACCTTTATCATGCAGTTATTGTCATCTGGTCCCTCGAGTCGGTTCTGAACAAAGCACTGCCTGATCCTGAGCTATCCCCACAATCGCTGCCATGTTTGCGCCCATTGTAGCAGCCACCGTGTCAGGCCTGAGGGGCTTCCTGGTTTTTGCTGACCCTCTACTTTACTTTATAATAGAGTCCCCGGGTCAGACAAGCCGTTAACACACTCAACTGCTAAAGGTTGGCAGGTCATGTGCACCCAAGTCTGGCAGTCTGCTTCCAAGAAAATCCATCCTGTGACACACGGGCTTGCATGACTTGGCGCTGACTCTGCAACAGCATTAAAACCAGGCCGAGATGTTGGATCAGGCAGGTGGTAACCAGATGCCTGCTGTAGGACTGGCCCAGAAGGAAAGGGAACTGTGGGGGTGGGAGATGGAGAGGCCGCTGAATTCCCTAGACTCCTGCTGTGTGTGTGTGGGCAGGGGGAGTGGAGTCCACGGAGCTGGGGAAGGATGGATGATGGAGGGGCACTCCCTGTGTGTTTGTGTGTATGTGTGTGTGTGTGTGTGGGGTATATGTCAGGGAGGTAGAGCCCACAGGGCTGGGGAAGGATGAATGATGGAGGGGCACTCCCGTGTGTGTGTGTGTGTGTGTGTGTGTGTGTGTGTGTCTGGGAGGTGAAGTCCATGGGGCCGGGAAGGATGAATGTTGGAGGGGCACTCCCATGTGTGCGTGTGTTGGAGGGGTGGGGTATATGGCAGGGAGGTGGAGCCCACAGACCAGGGGAAGGATGGATGATGGAGGGGCACTCCCGTGTGTGGGGGGGTGGGAGGGGGTTATGTGTGTGTGTGTGTGGGGGGGTATATGGCAGGGAGGTGGAGCCCACAGACCCAGGGAAGGATGGAGGGTGGTGGAACTTCCTGACAGCTCTCATGAACCGAGGGTCAGAGGAGGATGCACGTCACAGCGGGCACCTACGTGTTCTCCTGAGGGGCCTACAGACCCCCA